ATATATATATATATATATAACATAATAAATTTTTAAATCTATTTTTTAAAAAAAACACAAAAAAAAAGTACAAATAAAGTACAATAAAAAGAATCTTAAAATTTTGTATTCATGTGTTTTATATTTATTTTATGCAAAATACCAATAATTGAATAATAAGTTTAATTCCATGTAAAGATCCCTTTTTTTGTTTCTTCTTTTCAGCTTCTGCTTCTTTTTCCCTTTCAATTTCAGTAACATATTCTCCAATAGTATCTAAGTCTAACATCTAAAATAATATAATTAATTTGTAAAAAATATTTCAAAATGAATTGTTCAAAAAATAATTTACGAATAAATAAATTTTAGAATTTATACCTGTAAAGGTTGACCACGTCTCATTACTGCGATTTCTAAATTTTTTCTTCCTGATTGTACTACTTCTAATAAAGCTCTAATAGCTAATTTTATTGTTCCCTTTTCAGTTGCTACTTCTTCTGGTGTATAATATTTTTGTAAAAATTCATGAACTGTTTTGGCATTTCGACCTGTTGCATTTGCCTTAGAAAGAGAAAATAATTTTTTTCTTTTTCTTCTTTTTATAATTAACAAACAATATCTGAACATAATATACCTTCCACTCATAATAAATGCCTGAAGGTTCTGTTTGATATAAATGTGGAACACCATCATAATCGAATCCAGCTAAAAGACATGATATTCCAAAAGGTCTTCTACCATTACTTTGTGTATATTTTTGTTTTAAACCTAAAAGTGAATATTATATATATATATATTTAATAGAAAAAAATAATGGAACGTATGTATTTACCTGCAATGTATCTAGTTATATATTCCAATGTAACTGGATCTTCCACAGTTAATCTATGACTTTGACATTCCACTTGTGCACGATTAATTAATACTCTTGCATCTGCTGTTAAACCTAAAGAAAAAATAAAGCACATATAATAATTTATCATATTATACTAATTATTTCAATGTAATATTTATAAACAAACCTGCAAATGCCATTACAACGTGTTCATCTAAAAGACATATCTTACGAACTGTTCGTTCCTCTTGAAGTTTTGCAATAGATTTTTTTTCAACGCCTAAAACGACTACATCATTCCCACGCACGCCAACCTATATAATTAAATCATCAATATGATTAGTTAAAAAAAAATATTATAAAATTTTAATAATAAAAATCATCTTGCATTCGACTTGTAACATCAATTATTAAATGCATTTAATATTATTTTGCTTCATATTAATAAAGTTTCATTTTATATCATATCATGATATATGAATAATGTAATGTTAATGCAAAAATATACAAAATGTTGAACAATTTATCACAAACACAAAAGAGGTTAGATAAAATATATAATCATACCGCAGAAGAACCTTTTCTGACAGCTTCTTGTGCATATTCTACTTGTAGCAAATGTCCATCTGGTGAAAATACCGTAATAGCTCTATCGTACCTTGCTGTCATTCTGTCAAATTTTTTGAAAGTATATCTCCCTTGTTCTGTTCACGAAATGACTTCGCCGTTTTTCAAAATGATCGCTACTCATTCGGAAGCTTGGTTCTAATACTTACCGATAGAGGGTAATATATATTAATATTTTCATAATCATCGTAACGTAACGTTTTATTAAACTGTATTTTTTCAAAAAATACAATAAACATAATTTTACTTTTTTTTTCACAAGAAAAATTGTTAATATAAAAATATTTAAAACTAAATTAAATTTATTCATAATCTCAATTTTTTGAATAAAAAATATAAGCACTTTTTCCATTTTTCTGCATTTTGAATTTTAATAATTTATTTGAATTCTTAATAACTTATAGAATTGACAGAAAGTTGAACAATAATTATGTGTGTAAAAATCAATAAAAAAATATATAAAATCAAAAAAAGATAGAATTATTTAAAGATAATTTAAAAAATAGATTATTTAAAGTAGAAATAAATGTGTAAAATAAAATTATGTGTAATAATAAAATCTTACTTTTTTCAATAAAAAATATAAACAATTTTTGAAAAATGATCTCTACATCTCGAATCTTTATTTGATTTATTTGAATTCTTTGTTAATAATTTTTAAAAAATTGACAAAATTAAACAATAATTACGTGTAAAAGATCAAAGGTATATCGATAAAGGTCGATAAAATACGATAAATTATTTAAACATTCATAGATATATACGTTATATAACAAAAAATTTAACAAATATTTCTAATATGAAAAAAATTGTTCTCTTTCTATTTTTTTACTTTTTGTCACAAGAATTACAAAAACGTGTACAATAATTTTATTCATATTTAATATTCCATACCGATTTATATATACTTATATATAAATCGATATCGATAACCGATTTTTAATTAAAAATACTTTTTAATTAAAAATACTTAGTAGGATATTGCTTTCAAAATAAATGGAGGAATTAGAAGCATTTGATATTGCGTACGTATGACAGGAGTGGGGATAAATAAATAGAATCTGTATTGTAGCTAGTATAAAACGCGCCGATCAACTTGCTGAAAGGTTTAGTCAAGGTTGAGAGCTCTCTGTTCCCATTTGTTCCCAAGCAACATGATCGGGTTCGTAAAGATACTTTCACTTTTCATATTTTCTACGATAATAAAAACAATAATTTCCATTTTCCATTTATTATTTTTAATAACGTGAAAACAATATGGAACACTTTTCTTCGATAAAAGTTATTCGCATAATCTTTGGATCATTTGTAATGAAACAAAAAAAAAATGTTATTTTGGATAATTATGTAATATTATTTATAAAAAAAAAAAAAGCATACAAACATATTTATATATAAAATCATTGTATAACAACGTTCATATCGTATATTTTATAACTGAATTGAACAATTCGAAACAAATTTTATACGTGTCTTGAAGATTTCTTCGAAATTTTCTTCGAAAGGAAAGGAAAAAGAAAAAAAGAAATCGAGCAGAATACTTTAATTTCAAAGATTTCGAAGCTTTATGGAATTTACCGATTTTATGAGATTAATATCTCACGTAGTAACAGTTAATATTCTTCAATTTCATATCCTTAAATCAAAGTGAATTCATCGTGAAAGAATTAAATTATATCGTAATCTTATATTTTTGCAATTGGATGCAATTGATGGATATATCGTATATCTATGATAAATATCACCAATAACACGCTTCATAAAGATAGAAGTAAAATATTTTTTTTTTACTTTTGCTATTTTTAAAAATAGAAAATATTCACGATCATTTTCATATCTTAAGTATTTTTTTTTTTATCGAATATTTCTTAACTTTTGAATATTTAAATATGTATATATATATATAAATAAATGTTATATTATTTACAACACATAATATATATTGTATTAATATTGTATTAATTTCACGTCACTATTGAAGTGACATAGATACGTGTGACATAGATATGTGTACGTGTATATAGTAAATACGACGTAAATACGATCAAAGCAATTGTTCGTTTCGATCATTTAAATTGATAAAAAAAGAAAAAAAAAAAAAAAAGAAAAGAAAGAAAAAAAAACAAAGACGATCAGTTTTTATCGGGATTCAGAAGTAAATGTAAACTATACGAATATAAATAACACTTAAAAAAGATGTTATCAACGAAATATTTTCCTTACAAATTGTTTTGGAACCGGACAGTTTCTAACGCAATTTTTTTCCATGAAGATTAAAGACAAAGAAGCTTCTAATATTTGGGGTGAGCATCGCTATAATTCTAGCTATGGTCCTAACGATAATAATCGTATTATTCGTTAATAATTCAGAAACGATCTCTAATGGAAGCTCGTACTTTGGAAGATACAAAAAGGTAACTATGGATCAAAATGATGATAAAAAATGAGATTTTTATTTTTATTATAGAAAAATAAGAATAATAATAATCGATAATAATTTCCGTTCCAAATGATTTTTTTTTTTTTTCTTCTTCTTCCTTTTTTTACGTATCGACGATGTTGGTTCGCTCTTAAAAAGGCTGCAGTGTCCACACACGGGCAAGAATGCGCCGAGATAGGTGTCGGCATGTTAAATAAAGGTGGATCGGCAGTCGATGCGGCTATTGCTGCGCTCTTATGCGAGGGAGTTGCGTCTTTGCATAGGTGAATTAAATTTTCCTTTTTCACGCATGCGCATACATTTCTGTATATTTTAATAATTTTCCAATATTTTCTCTACACATCCACGTTGTTCCACGCGTTTGTTCCATTGAATCGAAGTATGGGATTGGGCGGTGGATTTTTAATGACCATTTGGGACGCATCTAACAAAACTGCCGTTTATTTGGATGCGAGGGAGGTAGCTCCATCTGACGCGAATGAGACCATGTTTCATGGGGATCCTCAATTAGCGATGTTTGGTAAAAATGTTAATATTTTCTTTTTTTTTATCACACGTACGCGTACACGTTAAAATTGATATACGTCTTAGGCGGCTTAGCCGTTGCAGTACCGGGCGAGCTTCTTGGTTATTGGGAAGCCCATAAAAAATATGGGAAATTGAAATGGTTCGATCTATTCGAGCCAATTATTTCTCTGTGCACCACCGGATCAATCGTGACTAAATATTTGGAATCATATCTGAGCAGTAAAGAATCGTCGATAAGGGCGGAAAAATCGTTGGCCGAAATCCTTATAAATCCCACTACCAATTCGTTGTGGAAGGTGGATGTTTATGTTTCATGTCCTCTCTTCTTTTGTCTCCTCTATCTTGCGATTTCGATCGAGAACGCTATAGAAATTTCGTTTCTTTCAGGTAGGCGATAGAATAAAAAGACCACGTTTGGCAGAAACGTTGAAATTGATCGCGTTCAATGGGCCCGATGTATTTTACAATGGCAGTATGACCGATAATTTAGTGAAAGAGATCGGTGCTTTCAAAGGTATCATAAAGAAGGAGGATTTCGTAAATTATAAGTATGCGTGAACTTTTTATAAAAAAAAAATCCGTGAGGCAATTCAAATTGAAATATACGTATTATCCGTATGTAATACGAATGTAATTGTTTACAGAGTAAAATGGAGGAAACCGATTAAATCAACGGTAGGGGATTTAACTATCTATACCGCACCGCCACCTGGTTCAGGAGCGCTCGTAACTTTTATTATGAATGTTCTCTACGGTATAATTCCAAACCAGGACAACAGAATTACATGGCAAAACATAATCGAGACGTTTAAATGGACTTATGCTAAAAGAACGAAATTAGCTGATCCTGATTTCGTCAATATCAGTGAGTCGGCAATTTATGTTATCATCGCATACTCATTGTTATTTGTGATAAGTATACATATAACAAATAAAAAACAATTTTTTATTAGTTATGTAATAAATCATTTGAACATCAATTTAAATTACTTTAGATAAGAGTGTGAGATAAGAGCAAATTTAGAATCAGTTCATTTGTCATGGAAACAGACAAGAATAGAGTTAATGATGATATGATGATACTTATCGCAGCTAATATATTTGGTTGGTTAGGTCTATTCTTAGCTTATCTAATTTC